GACCAGCATGCAAAAGAACTGTATTTGCAAGAATTGGTCCAGACACCAGGGGAATTATCACTACATACGGTTTGTAGTTCCGTTAGTTCTCGAAGGCGTTGATCAAGACGGACGTGGTCAGCCATGATGGACGACTTAATACCCGGTGTCAGCGACGTGTTACCGTGGAAAACAGGTGGATACAATTCGTTAATCATTCAGGAAACACAACTTTAGTCAACACGGAACAGAAACTTTGCAGTACGAGAAGTACATGTCGATCACATTCAGATTCGAGTAAGCGAATTCCTAAAGGAGGCTGCAGGGTTAGTCTCCGCATTTGGGTCTCAAAAGTTTACGCAGTATGTGTAATTGGAAAGAAAAAAACGGTTTACGAAACGGTCACGAAACGTCACGAAAAGCCAAAATGATTACACCCAAGTCATAACTCCGTAATGTGACGTTAGATTTGAGAACTTTACACCTTAAGGGGTTGACTAAGTGGCCATGAGACTTCGAAAGGCTTAACAGTTATAGTATGAACGTTGATAAAGAGTACCTGTGTGCAAACAGTAAGTGTGCGGCAAGTCCTCGGAATTAACCTTCTATATGTAGTACCATGTACGGTGTGCATGCAAGCTAGCATTTCAGTTTCACAGCTCACATTCGGGTACGTTTCATTAAAATTTAGAACGATTCGGAAACAAACGGCCTCAAAATAAACATTTGTCAAGCAGCTGAAGTGAGTAAACGATGAGTGAAAGTGAAAATTCAAGAATGAAGGTTTGTATTGAGTTGTCCATCTAGTTACTGTGGTGATAGTTTAAGGGAACTGTCTCGATGGTGTGTAGAATCACGGTTTATATTGATTATGGGTCTCCTGGCGGGGTATGGGCATTAGTCTCAAGAAAGAATGTCCACAAATATTGGAAGTGTTACATTCACCGAATCATTGCGTTATAGACTTCGTTAGATCAACTATGGCCCAGAACATTAGAAGTCATGTAAATCTTTGAGGTCTGTTTTTTATTGAAGTGGTCACAATCAGCTTGAAACATGTGATCACTTCTTCAGATCTATCTAGACAAAAACTTACATATTGGCTGTAATTCAGCAGTGACGCATCCATGCAAAGTTCTGCGTTAGTAGTTGAATGCCAATAGTAATCGAGAAGCAATATTTCAAGAAGTGGGTGTGGTGACCTAACTCTGGATAGACTTAAATCAGGAATGAAGTGAGGGTTAAAACATGCGTGGAAAAGGTCCAGGACTCTTTAGGTCAGCCGATATAAAATATAGCTTTCAGAGTTGGAAAGTTCGAAATTATTTATGGCATCCTGCAGTATAAGAAGTTACAAGCAAACCATTGGAGAGATCACTCTCTACTGTGACATTTTGGTATCCTGTTTGGAGTTATACTGCGAAGATTGTACCTGATCTAATACTGAGAAGTTAAAGATCCGTAGGTGATTATGTATCAAGTTTTATGTCAACAGGTAACAATTAGATTCACTCTTATTGGATTGTCCCTAACAAATACGACTCGGACGTTAAAGTACTTATGACCCTACAGTTGGAGTTAAGAATTACAACACACATAGACCATCTTACAATGTAATCCTTTTTTGATTTAACAGCAAACGATTGCTTTACATACCAACGCTTCTTTTTAGGATCAACGATATCGAGAAAGACCAAACGGTGTTAAGATTGCTTCAAATTGCCACTATAAACTTACTCAATGATACAGCTGATAATTTGTCAAGACAATGAAGTTATAGATGTGTTTTGGAAGGAATTATGCGCTACAGTGCCACAATCATCATTTCAATGTGTATTTAGTTTCCACTGCAAAGATTTCGAAATCAAACATATTTAGAACACGTTATATTAACGTATAGGATTGATGTCTTTCCATTTTATGTGAATGTTTTACTTCAGGCTAACTTACGACAATACCTCAAGACTAAATGCTATATAATTGAGTAGCATCTAACCAGCAATTTTAAGTACTGGCTTAGAAAGTGAAAATCCCAAGTCGCACTCTTATGAGCTGATTTTGGTACGAATGGTTCCGTTGAGACAGGTTGGCGTTGGTGTGCAGTACTATTTTCACTTTCCTCTGTGATTTCGTTGTTCATTAATTGTTCTACAAGAGACGTCTTACAACTCTTGGTATCAAAGAATGTTCATCAGCATCGCATCCCTCACCTTTATGATGTGGCAATGATTGATCGGAATTGTGCTCATCTGTATCAACACTTGCTATAGCTTACTATCGAAGCCAAGGCTCAACGCCAGTAAATTACGAATGAGGCATAAATAACGCATGCACGTTAGTGGGTAGTGAGAATTATACGATCGATATATAAGGCGGACGAAGTTTGCAAAACGATTAGGGGAATACGTAGAAGGTATATAGACTTGATGTTTGATCCGCACGGTGGCGATGTGGAACACTGTCCCGGTGGTTTTGAGGTTGCATCGGGCCAATGATTGCATATTGCACGCTGGCACTTTAAGGAACAGTTTTCCATGTAGGTATATTTGGTGTTCTGTAGCCCGCGTAAATATCACGCACATCATCAAACCAAGTTGGAGGAGCCCACTATCTCAGGATTGGCTTCAAAAGGCCAGTTTCCAACAATGAACGCCTAACTTCATTAGCTGTTGTTATTCATCGCGTCTTGGTAAGGTCACCACTGGAAACGCGTGATCATCGGATTTTGTTTCCCAATGTGGATCTGAGAGATCGGAAGTTCGAAAGTAGATTTAGAACCCTGCCGCTGATGTAAGAATATTAAGAAGGTAGGTACAAAACGGGTGGTCTCCAGCTTCCTCCACCACATTTCATCTTTTTATGACTGTCAAATACCTTTAATACATCGACGTTGACTCCTACGCCTTCGACAATCGTAATTCTACAGAGGCACAATCCAGAAGACCAAAGATTTAATCACAGGGTACGTCTCCAGAAAAGCTCCACTTTGGTTCGTTTGGATGTGGTTTCTTAATCCCACAGTAACGAGTCTTAGGTAATCGCATAGCGCGCAATGCGTATGCGTTCATGTCGTATATGTAAACACTTCGAGAGTTAAGGACTTGGTGCGAGGCCTTTGTTGTATGTACAACGGCCGAGGTGTACACGTCCAAAACATGTCTTTCATGTGCACTTCAACTCGTTCAAAGGAGAGTACATTAGGCATCAGCAGATATGCAATTGGTGCTTCCAGCTTAGTGCCTACAGCTCAGTATTCTCAGCTATGTACTTGCAACTTTGAGGTTGGAAGTTAACCGTCAGTACGGCTAGGCCGGGCTAGTGCAGATGTAATGGGACACAGGAGCAGTTTGCCTATACCGGGTGCGCCTTCGATGTTTTCCGACAGTACCCATGAGCAGATATTACGCGGACACAATTGTACATAACGTAGAATATCTCGAAGTTACATTACATACAACAGATCGATTGCATAAGGCAGTTGTAATACGTTGTAACGCACACATTAAAGACAAGAGGGCTCAGATTATTGTTAGATGGGCCTGATGAGGGCGAATGTCTTGCATCTCGGCCGCTTCTCCACCTCTGAGCCCTACGCTGTGCATCAACAAGTCAGTATGTTCAGGCGGTTTGTGTCGATCAATATGGGTGTTGAAGACCATATATCCGTCTGTTTGCAGCTGTAGAAATAACTCTAAGCTTATGGGAACTGGTAGATTGCACATAGAAGCTCGGGGGGGGGGGGGCTTTGTCAATGTTTAAATTGCATTGAAACAAAGCCTCCAACGGTCCATAGTAGTGATGTGGTGATGAGTTTTAAGCATACCGAGATTTGATTTGCTGGTAATAACTATATGCAGTGCATTTATCTTACAAGGACAAACGAATTTAGTGTATAGGAGGTCAATTGACAGAACACTTGTAGACTTTGGACCTATGACCGCAGTTGTGTTGAAACTACGAAAACTGCTTAGTCTATACTATCCCAAAGGTCGGGTCTACTCTTTAAATTAAAGAGCATGTATACCATAGTTAGTGGGTGCACCACACTTTAAGCAGCATATACTCATTGCCTCTGTGCTCGAATTATAGCCACTAGCTTCTAAATATCTTCATGTCTTTGGATGAATTCAACTATAGCATCAACACTTTCCTTAGGCTTTTCTGCCATTACCCAGTGCCCTGCATCTATTTCACGAACTTCAAAGTTTGGAAAGAAACGGCCAATATCTGGAAGATACTCATCTGGAACGTACGTACTCTTTGCACCCCTTATGAACAACGCAGGCCCAGACCATGATGCGTAGTTGGGATCAAATTCCCAGGACGCAACGTTCCCCTTTATAAGCGCTTTCTTCATAATATCCAAGGGCACTCTACTTGTCATCATGCCGGTTTCTTTGTCTTTGCGTAGATTTTGTAAAAGAAACTGTCTTACAGAATCGTTCTCCTCATATTTCTTGAATTCGTTATTCGCCTCTTTCGCCGTGGTGATCTCTGGGTTGTTCTCCAACTGTTGTAAGATCTTGACGTACTCGATGAACTTGGAACTTGGCTGGAGATTCACCGGGGCGTTATCCACAGAAATGAGAATTTCCACAAGAGACTTCGACCTCAACGCTACAGCCATTGCTGCCTTCGCGCCCATAGAGTGGCCCAGGAGTATGCTCTGGCCCAGTTGGTGATCTTTGATAAACCTTTCAACATCAGCGGCAAGGGCCGGATAGTCATGGCGGGAATCATGAGGCGAGTCTCCATGATTCCTCAGATCCAGGCAATATATGTCCCTCTCCAGTCTTGAGTTGAGTTCACGCGCAATGGATCTGTTGTTTGATTTGGATCCAAACAATCCATGAAGGATCAGAACTGGGCTCCGCGGTATCGTCGACGACTGCTCGTTAATGAGGTCATAACTCAGCTCAACAGTGGGAATGTCTTTAGACATGAGCTGTTCAGTAAGAGCCTGGTTCGAAGAAGCATAGTAGCTTCTCTTTGTAACGGCAGATAGTAGCGAGCGATGGAACCTAATCATGTTTGGCCTTTCTGTTCTTCGCAACCGATGACCTTGGAGTTATTAGTGAGCTCCTCGGCGTCAGAAAACACTACAACGAAACATCCGTGCGCTTAAGAAAACTCCCTGCCTTTTCCCCCGTTTGCACTGTTGTTCTTGCACAAGGGGAAAAGCAGTCGGGGAATTGCAACCAAAGGCCCCCAATACCGCAGGAAAAAAAAATCACATAGGGCGTTCACAAGCAAAAAAAAAACACACACGCATTTTGTATTTGTTTCGACTGGGAGTGAGATATTTTGGGCTTACAAGTCGTTGTGGAAACTAGGGAACAGAAGATCGAGAGAGTGTGAGAGAGAGATACAGGGAAAGTTTTCACTCTGATCGTTATTCCTTTCCACTGGTGCACTTGGTTTCATATTTTGTCCCTTTTCGTTTGCGTTCGTGCTTGCTTGCTTGTTTGTTTGTGTTGTTCCCCTGTGCTTTGACACTACCGTCCGAACAACTGTGTTGTAAAGAGGAGAGAAAGACACACCAGGAGGCGTTGTTGTTAGAAACATGTCCGGACCATCTCGTCAACCGCTAATGAACGCTGAAACCCCCATCAGCTGCCGTCTCAAGGCCGAAGATCAGTATGTTTACCATGCTGAACTAGCGTTGCCTGGGTTGTCGTCTAGTGGTGCTCAGAACATCAACAACAACAACGGCGGCGGCAATAGCAGCAATAGCAACAGGCCAGGGATGAAGCGCCCCGCGGAAGAGCCACAGCGTGTGATGAAACGCAGGTTCAGGGATGATGGTCATGACGGTGGCGCTCAAGAGGATGAAGATATGCTCGATACCCCTGGAGAGGATGAAGAAGAAGATAACAATTTGGCAAACCAGCTGCCAGCCTTGGATGTTGGTCAGCAAATCCCACATGACCAACAACAAGATCAGCAGCAGCAGCAAGAGCATGAGCAGCAACAACAACAGCAGCAGCAGCAGTTGATGATGCCTCCACCACAGCAGGTGGGTCCTGGTACTCCTTTTGATAGTACAACCGACCTGCCGTTACCTTCCCCATCTGCTTCTCCAAAACAAACATTCCATTTGGATGATCCTATGGACGATGACGACACACAAGTTGTGCAAATGGAAACCACCAAAGTTATTGATATTATTGAACGCTACGCAGCTTCATCTCTTACTAAGAACGCTCTAAATCACTTGATATTTAGGCTTATTCAACGTGCTGATCGCTCGACTCTCAGTGACTTGACTAATACGATTTCTGGCTCTTTGAAGAGGGATTTCTTAACCTCACTTCCGACTGAAATATCCATGGAAATCCTGGAACAGCTCGATCATGATTCTGTGAATAACGTTCTGGCCGTCTCCAGAAGTTGGAATAGATTGATTACAAGCGAATTTTGGAAAAACCTGTTGATCAGAGATAACTACACTACAAAGGAGGAATTGGACCAACTTGTACAAAAAGTGGACTCAGAACCGTCGATCTTCCACAAACTATACACTAAGAGGTTTAGACTACATCGTAACTGGTTAGATCCAGACTTCCAGCCGTATAAGATTACAGTTCCAGGTCATGGGGCGAATGTTGTGACCTGCCTCCAATTCGATGACGAAAGAATCATTACAGGTGCAGATGACAAAATGATCAACATCTATGATCCAGAAACTGGGAAACTATTGAATATACTTTCAGGCCATGAGGGCGGTGTTTGGGCTTTAAAATACATTGGGAATCAGATTGTCAGTGGCTCCACCGACCGGACGGTCAGAGTTTGGAACATACAGCTGGGTAAATGTACTCATGTGTTCAAGGGACATACATCGACAATTAGATGCATGGAAATTGTGACAAATGATGAGGGTGAAAAATTTATAATCACCGGATCCAGGGATAACACCCTCCATGTATGGAGGCTTCCGGATGAAGATGATCTTGGTGAGGATTACGATGAGACAGATGCACAGAACCCGTACTTTGTTACCGTACTCAGAGGACATACTGCATCAGTGAGAGCAGTTACTGGATATGGGAACACAATCATATCCGGCTCTTATGACCATACTGTTCGTGTCTGGGACCTGAAAACTTGTACAAACAAGTTTGTCCTACGTGGTCATACAGACCGTATCTATTCGACTATTTTGGATGTTGAAAGAAACAGATGCATTTCTGCCTCTATGGACTCGACTATTAGAGTATGGGACTTGAATAATGGTGCCTGTATTGCAGAACTAACAAAACACACTTCTCTAGTTGGCTTACTTGGACTCTCCTCGAATTATTTGGTGAGTGCGGCTGCAGATGGTACTCTTCGGGGCTGGAATCCTGATAATTACGAGAGTGAATTTGTATTGCATCAAGATGGCCATTCCGCTATCACCACTTTTTACGCATCACCAAACTTGTTGGTCAGTGGTAGTGAAGGCCAATTCAACATTTACGACCTACAGAACAAGGGGCAGTTGATTCGTTCAAACGTGTTGGCAGACTCCGGCCCAATCTGGTCTGCAAAGTTCAATTATTCCAAATGTGTTGTCGCCGTGGAAAAAAACTCCCAGAGTTTCATAGAGATCTTAGACTTCAGCAAAAGGGCCTAATTCCAGGTAATATAGCTTTCTCTTGTTTTCTTTCACAGAACTCAACTGTATCGTTGTAAGTGTTGGTGTTTATATGTTTTGTAGATTTGATCGGACTTACTTACCCAAACCCCGGAAAATCATTAAAGTTATCTCTTCGATCAATGAAAAAGGGCGTGCATGAAGGAAAAAAAACCTGAAATTTTTTTAAAAAGAAATTTCCTCCCTGAAGTTGACACACAAGACATTTATACCAAGACTTTCATATTATACTGCCTGGAAAGTACAACAAGTAGAAGAACAACATCATGTCTGCTGGATCAAAGATTGATGCTCGTTATGCCGAGGAGGTGAGTGTTTTTGGCCCTCCATTTGCTTATTACAAGGACAGAACCGAAAGAGAGAGTCCATCTTTAAAACTGTTCTTTGCTGGGTTCCTAATCACTGTTGTGTGTGCACTCGATTTCCTCCTTGCCACAAACATCTTAATCTATGTCCGTACGATGAATCCAAATGATACAAGGGATATCTTTGTTCACAGTGCGATTGTTGTTTTATCCCTACTACTGATCTGGGTGTCTTATAAGTTCTTGTGCTGGTACATTGCAAAGTTCCAGATCACGGATACATTGAAGGAGCACAAGATTTACAAGAAGATTGCAAACGACGTTATCGAACTCGAAAACCTTTTAACGTCCAGCAGCAGTGCACCTGACAGAAGACTTGATTGAGGTGGTACTTACAGAATACCTTTATGGTTCAGAACGACGATTTATGGTAGGGGAATGCTACATTCGCTGTGTTTTGATACACATGTGTATAACAGAATACAGTCAGTTATCCATGTACACTTTGTACATCCATTGTGTAAGATGATAGTCTATCTCGGCGCCACCAGTAAGCCATGGCTTAACTGTGAGGTTGGGGTATCAGCAAGCTCTACATAAATCTAAAGAGGTAAAAAGTATACATATATCATTTGCTTATTGTCTTCCAAGTAGAAGATATTCTATTCATTTCACAGCGTGTCTGTCGCCTGGGCTGACGAGGTTTGTAGCACCTATTGGGACACGCAGATTAGAACTATTATCATGCTGAGGTAAATTGTGATTCGTTTCCAATGAGTTAGCACATAGGTAGGTATCGGATGAAATATCACTCTTTGAGATAAGCACAGCTATTTTCATCTGTTTAGACATCGTCTTCAATAAAATTGCAAGGTGCTGTATTACAACCAGATTAAATGTTGTAGTAGCCGTGCTTTCACATCATAATCAGCTCTTACTTGATCATGTTAGTGTAAAGCTGAGCTGAAATGAATGAACAGTTCATTTCCGTGTAGCTAGTGACAAGTGAGAAGGACTACTAGATGAGTTGTATATGCTCCATAGATCATGAGGACAGACTTTCCAAGAGTTTGGCATTCCAGAGGTGCATCTTTACAAACACCTCATCATCACCTAGAAGCTCAGTCATACTCCTCGACTGCATGTTCTTACCTCTTAGGAAGATCTCGTTATTCGTAGAGTTGACCATTTCGTACTCGTAACTCTTCTTTGTGAGGTATTCGATCATCACGGTGATTGTTTCCACAATCACTCCCCAGTTGTCCAACAGTTTCTTCTCATTCTTACAGTTCACTATGTAGGCATACCTTCTCTCGGAACCACGTGCTTCAAGGTCCTTGAGCTTGAAGCTCAACGCTATCGAGTAACCTCTGGACTCGTCTCCGAAGAACATTGGCCTTGCATCGTACACCGGTGTCTCTTCCGACAGGCACTTCCTCACAACACTGTTCAATACCCTAAACCTTACCGCATTGTACTGCGTAGTTGTGTAGACGTTGTTATTCAGTTCAGTCTGCAGTGTCGTGGTTGGGTTATTCGGATCAACCACATGCTTTGGCAGCATCAACAGACAAGACGTGCAGTACGACTCCTTGGAGAACTCTGGAAGCACGTACTGTTCGGGCAATTCAGTGGTTTGCTGTGTAGAGAGAATGGATCTTGGGCCGTGTATATCACAAAAGTGGGCTAGCAGCACCGTGAACACCATCGTCAGTATGCCTGTGTTTCCCCTTGTGTCCCCAAATGTAACAGTTGGTGGGGTTTATTGAATTGTTCCCTCTTCACCACCATCAGCCATCACCGTCATCGGCGGTGGGCCTGCCCTGTTCCCCGGGCACGTGAGGATGTGTCCCCACCCAAAACATCATCGGCTTATGTAAGCAGTACTCACCAGATGACATAATCGGCCATCGGAAAAAAAGGGGCCAACCTTTTCAGTGGTTTTTCGTGTTTTTGCGCCTTTTCTTCGCCTTTTTTTCGCGCTTTTTAAACCAATGCGTGTATTTTACCGCTGCCCGCTGCCCGCTTCCCAAACCGCCAGCTCCGCACGCTAAGCTGACGATAACTTCCGATCTATCACAAAATGCCCAAACAGCGCACCAAACCGACAATCCTAGGCAGCAGGGAAGAGGAAAAAATCACAGGCTGAAAAAATCACACACACACACACACAGCGACGATCAGAAGGAGCATAATTTCTCTCTCTGCTTAATTTCTCTCTCTTTAAAGACAAAGGAAGTTGATACCGTCATCCTTCCGTCATCGAGAGCTTCCGTATCACCGCAAGAGAGCTGGAACGAGGCGTTAGAATAGCAGCTCGTCCTCTCCAACAACGCACTGTTGATACTTGTTTTACGTCCTTGCTTCGTTTTTCAGTGGAGGGTCATTTCCATCTGAGCCCCCACACACAGATACACACGACAGGACACGCCATAGTGTAAGGGCATAGTTCACCGGGCAGGGGGCGCTGATTCATTTCCCAGCTGTTTCCATTCGAATAAGCATATCGTCATGTCAGTACCAGGGTCGCAACAGGACTTGACAGGGTCGCCTTCCAGGCCGGACTCCAGAAGACGCGGGTCCAGCTTTGGGTTTCTGTCCTCCATCACGAACTCGCTGAGAAACAACAACTCGTCGTCGTCGAACCTACAGCAGTCGTCGACTGGTCGGTCGAGAGCGGGATCCTCTTCGAGACAGCTGGCGGGCGGCACGAGCGCTGGTGGAGGTGCTGGTGGTGGTGTTGGTTCGTCAAGATCAGTGGCTCAGCCTATCGCACAGAGCGCCACGGCGGGTTATTTCTCTGACAACCACAACAATGGGAGTAATGGACAGTTTGACATGTATGCTGCGACGCCAACAGAGGAGAACATGATGCAAGACGCCACGAGAAGAAGCTCTCCGTTGCCACGGCAGTCGCCTGACTCTGACGGGCTGTATTCCATCAGACTGACTCCATTCATCGATCACTCGTCAACGACGCCTGCGTTGTACTTTGGCCCAATACTGCGTAAGACTAAGCCAGGGGCCAGGCTATCCATAGGAAGATACACCGAGAAGGTACGTGAGACGGCGTATGCGCCACAGGGCTCTGATGCTGGTGTTGTCTTCAAATCCAAGGTTGTGTCACGTACACACGGTGAGTTCTACGTTGATAACTATGGGAACTGGTATGTGAAGGACCTCAAATCATCATCCGGTACCTTCCTGAACCACGTTCGTCTCTCGCCGGCAGGCATAGAAAGTGCCGATACACCACTTCAAAATGGAGATATACTACAGTTGGGGATGGATTTTAGAGGCGGAATTGAGGATATCTTCCGCTGTGTAAAGATGCGTGTGGAGATGAACAAGTCGTGGCAACGTAAGGCGAACCAGTTTAACAAAGAAGCACATCAACGTCTGAAGACCTTGGCGATGATGAACGATTCGGAACTGTCCGAATGTGCCATTTGTCTCTTGAAAGTGAGACCATGCCAGGCAGTATTCATTAGCCCTTGTTCGCACTGCTGGCATTACAAATGCATACGGCCTATTGTCATCAAGAGTTATCCGCAGTTCCTATGTCCAAACTGTAGAGAGACGTGTGATCTCGAAGCAGATTTGGATGAAGATAGCGATGCAGAAAACGAAGCACCAAGTACAGATGCTGACGGTGATGCTATCATAATTGAAGAGGCTGAAGCCGAAATTGGCCAACTACCTTCAAAAGAGCCCTCAGTGAGCTCGTCAAATGATGATGATCAAGGGACCGATCGTTCCTCATAATAAGACGATCCCTTTAATCGTATGAGTTGGAGTTAGTGTCGATGTCATTCGCTGACTTTTTACATCATCTACTTGAGAATGATTTTTGTATTCATGAATTTGTAATACATGGTTTATGAAGAAGCAAACAAAGAAATAGAGAAAAAAAAAAAGCAGATAGCTATCTCTCGAGAAGTCTTAGAAGAACATCTTGAAGTTGCTCCTTCCCCTTTGGTGTCTTCCACATCTCATGACCACCATCGGCAATCTTCCACTCATACGTTGTGGAACTTATCTTTGTCAACAGTCTTTGCCAGTTCCCCCAGTTTAGACTTCTCTTGATCATGTTATCCGAGCTGACAACGCTTATAGGAATATCAACCAAGGCCTGTTTAGCAGAAACAGCCTCATTGTATGAAAGAATAGATGCTCCAATTTGCTCTTGTAACCTAGCACGTAGGTACTTCCCCTGGTGTCTCATGTTTCTCCCGTAAATACGATCTTTTGATCCACGATGCTTGATAATCCATGAGCCTTGTAATGAGAATCCCAGTGGGCTGAAGATGCCCTTCACCCAGAGTTTGAAACCTGAATAAGGACCCATAGGACTGATCTCCTTAGGCAGTGGCTCGTCTTTCTTTGCGTGGGAACTTGGATTACGAAGCAACAGATCCTCATGCCATGCATCGACGAATAAGATCGAATCGATTTGGGCAATGTTTCTAGACGCAAACACCTGTGAGTACAACCCACCAATGTCATGGCCAACAAGAACAAATGGGCCATGGATCTTCAACTTTGCAAGAGCCTGTGCCAGCAAATCAGATATTATGGATAGCGAAACCGGTGACGGGGATGAATCTGAGAAACCATAGCCAGGACGATCGTAGATACAATATCTTTCAACCTTGTTTAGCTGGTGAAGCTC